CAACTTATTGATCGACATTCAGCACTACAAACGTCGCATAAGGAAGATTCCGACCGCATTCCATTCACTCTCACGTTTCACCCTCACAACCACTCAGTTAAATCCATCATTCTTAAAAACTTTAAATTACTTCAAAACGATCCAGAGACAAGCACTATCTTTTCGCAGCCTCCGCTCATTTCATTCAAACGCGACAAAAACATAGGCAATTTTTTGGTCAGAAGTTCTTTTCAGACTAATGACCAACCAGGCACTTTTAAATGCGCTCGTGCACGATGCAAAACGTGTCCTTTCATTCACAACACTGATAAAATATCGGGACCTAAACGATCCATTAAGATCACCGATCACTTCACGTGCACCTCCGCCAATGTAATCTATTGCATAACTTGCACTTATTGCAAAAAGATATACATCGGCGAAACAGGCAGAAGACTAGGTGACCGATTCCGAGAACACCTTCGAGACGTGGAAAGGAATGACAAGGACACATCGAAACCAGTCGCTAGACATTTTAATTTACCTAATCATTCTAAGCAACATATGGCAATCTGCGGTCTTTCCTTACACTTAGGTAGCACGGAAAGCCGTAAAAATCTTGAACAAAAGCTCATCTTTCAAACCGGCAGTCTAAATCCCACAGGGATCAACGAACGCTTTTCATTCCACTAATTTATTCTTGTTTTTCTCGTTGCCATGTTCCCACCAATAACGTAGCTCCATTTTCTGCCTTTAAAAGCACACACAACCCACAATTCCTCTATTCGCTCCGACGAAGGGCTAACGCTCGAAACGTCAGCTTTTGTAATCGTTACGGTGGCCAATTTACCATTTCAACTTTGTTGATATATCCAAATTATTTCGTTACCCCCACCGACGCAGCCCCAAACAGTTTCTTTCGAAACTATCAGCCTCTATTCATAGCATGATAATCGATCATGATAGTAGTTAATTGTAATAATTTGAAAAATGAGTTACACATGATCTCAATTATTTTTTCATTCTTTTAATTGGACAGACCACCGATGCAGAAAATGCAACTTTCTGTATGCATACACAAAAAATGTTTAAACTGAAAGTGTATGCATAAATTAAAAAGGTATTTTAGTTGCTTTGTAAATGAGCTCTCAGATACTGACGGTGGGAGTCTAGGACTCGCGGGCAGGAGCTCCATCGCGGTCTGGGAGAGGATTTAAGCGTAGAACAGATGGAATACTGGAGGAATCACATGTATAAGGGCCCAAGGATGTATCTGTCAGTGTTGGTCCACCAGTAGTCATCCCCAAATGCTTACGATCATCAGACAGGAAGACGTTTCTGTTGTTGGCATCGTACTCAGTGGTTGTACCTCTTCCATGTGTAGCTTGCACCCAAGGACCACGGTCTGTTCTGATCCATGCTGGACCCCACAAGCCCTTACGGCGGTAGCCATTTCCAATCCAATCTTCAAGAAACGAGTAGGGATCCTCCAGTTTCTTGCTTGTTGCCGTAGGACGAACCTGGAATGATGCTAACAGTCGCCAAATATTCAGCTCTGGGATGCGGAACCAACCCGTGAAGACGGCCTTGTCGCTTTCTTTTGCATCTGGTCTCACGTTCACCATGAGCTGATATGTGTGGCCTACCTTCCAGTCATAGGTAAGATAACTCTGGCCACCCGTTCCTTCGCCTCCAAAACGTTTAACTGTGACGCCTTCACCATGGGCAAGCACTTTGACCAAGTCGTCCGGCGATGCATTTGGATCGTCTTCTGTCGAGGTCTTGTCCCAAATGGAGAAGAGGACCCACTTAGGAGAACGATCTTGAATGCCCATGTAACCTCCAGTGAAACCATTAGTCATGAAGTAACTGCTACCCGCTGTCTCTTTAACGATCACTTCGTTGTAGAACCAGGTAACCCCTTCCCGTTGTACTTCTGGATTGGCAGCCGCTGACCACCAAATATGAACCGAAGGTGAACGGTATAGCTGTTCAGCTATGACCCATTTATTTGAGAGGTAGACTTCACTGACCTGTTCAAGAGATGTCATTCACTTATCACGAGACAAAGAAAGAAAGAAAGAAAGAAAGAAAGAAGGGTTCCTCCACGTAGATTTGTACTTCAGAGTTTAAGAAATCTCGGTTCTATATTCTTCCAGTAAACTCGTAAGAGACTACGCCGGTGAACAAGGTCACATACTATGTTCTTACGTGCGCATGGCTTGTCGAGTGAGCACCACAAAGATGATAATACGTACACCGGACAGATGTGAACTGACTACATGCCCTGGCTTTAGGTACTATAAATATATTAGATCGTACTGATTAATCCAAGACTTTTAGGTTCGTATCCTTGTGGGAAGAGGGAAGGAAGGGAAGAGGGGGGATGGGTTTATTTCTTCTTTCTTCCACTTTCGCAACAAAAGGCAGTTTCGTAACATCTTTACTTACCTTGAATTTGGGGCTCCAATTTGCTTCATATGGTTCTTCAGCGGGCTTTGATGATTCAAACCCCCCTGTGCTACCATCAAGGACATCCTGCATGTACTGGATTGCAGTAATTACCCACGAACTGCCTGTGTAGAACATCATTCGGCTGTTACTTTGACAAACCCAAATGTTTTTATTTCGAACTTTGTCGTCTGTGAGAGAGTATTCCCCTGCACTTTTAGCGTAATCATCACCCTCCACCAGAACCAGCCTTAGTTTGGAAACATCTTTTAGTTTGGAGGCCATTTAAGTCGTTTTTCTGAAGCTTTTCACCTGTGGAGAGAGAGCGGTAAAAATTTCAACCCTCTGTTCAATCTGAATGTTTCATAACAAGATGGCATTATTAATTTTTTACCCCACGATTTATAGTTTTAGTACTTCATTATTTGTTTTTGTGGCTACTGCCTCCTTGACGAGGCGATGCGTGACAAAATCAAATGTGCGACTTTCAATGCATAAATTTCTCGCAGTGTTAGAAAATAATAGATTTTAATAAGGTTTAAACTTGAGAACAGGGAATGAAACAATTTTTTGAAATGCGTTAGAACAGTATTTGATGCGCTGTCAATAAGTTAGAGGTTTCCCCATGGAAATCGGTGTGGTACTGTTGCTCTGCTCTTCTGTCATTCTAGAAGATGAAAGGTCACTGATGAAACAACTCAGTTAGGTAATTTAAGGGATTATTGCTGGGCAACAAATGAAATAACCAAGAGTAGAAAATTTGTTTTATCGTACTGTCTCTGAAGATAAATTCAAATCGAAACAAAAGTCTTAAAAATCTGCTCTAAAACCCGCGCTAACAAAATTCGACACTTTAAGTGTAAAGGACAGGCATTGGGATTGGTGTTGCGGTTTTCGCTATTTCTCAGATCGACTTTGCGGTTTTGATGTACATTGTGGTTTGCAGGTTTTCCGTTTTTTTTATAGCTTTTGGTTTTCGGATTTTGGTAAAAAATACTAACGGGTTTTCGAACTTGATATCTGATGTGGTTTTAGGTTTTCCCTATTTGGGTTCCGGTTTCTCTTGTCTCCAATCTGAGCCGCAATTATGCGCCTCCACTGATCTCGAATAACCTCTGTGTGCTCCCTTGTCACCATTGTATCGAACTGATTAGGATTTTGATAACTGGGATGTGAAAATTTATCGAATTTGACGGTTTTGCAAGCAGTTTTCGGTTTTGATTGAATCTTTTTCGGTTTTGCGGTTTGGATGATTTTTTCTAAGGCTGTGCGTTTTCTAAAAGACCCCAAAGCCCCCTCGTAAAAGGAGAGTACACATTGTTTGATATATGTAAATCATTTGAAAATATTTGGGAAGCTGCACTTGAAATAGGTACAAAACAAGCGCGAGACGAGTACAAATATCACACGATATTTGTACTCCTGAAATATCCGTGAAATTCGCCCACACCGAAATAACAATTTGGCGTGCTGGATAATAAATCTCTTATTAGACGTTTTGTTGTGCAGTATCGCTGAGTATTTTTACTCGTTGTTTGTATTTTGACTCGCCCTACGGGCTCGTCAAAATACGGCACAACTCGTAAGAATACTAAGTGATACTACGCAACAAAAATGTTTAATGAGATATATTTATTATCCAACTGTGCTTCGTAGAGTACAAATATCACGACGAGTACAAATATAGCGACCAGTACAAATATCGCGTGATATTTGTACTCCAGAAATATCCACGGGCGACTGAAAAAACAATTTGTCGTGTTGGATAATAAATCTCTTATGAGACGTTTTGTTGTTTAGTATCGCTGAGTATTTTGTTGTTTGTATTTTGACTCGCCCTATGGGCTCGTCAAAATACGGCACAACTCGTAAAAATACTCAGCGATACTACACAACAAAATGTCTAATAAGATATATATAGCTAGCAAATGTAATTCTTAGTTGAAGCGTAGACCTAGAACGAAAGTGGAGTAGATTAGAATAGAGTAGATTCGAACTGAAATAGGATAATCAAAACTGAAGCAAGGTTTAGACATAGGGTTAGCTTAGTAGACATGCAAAGAGATATTAAAATCGACTAAAAGAGTTTCCGAAAGTCTACATCGGACACAACTCTGACAGCATACAAGGGTGCTGAGAACATAAAATCCAAGTAGTGTAAGAAAATTCAGCTAGTTGTAGTGAGACTGAACATATTTAGATCATAAAATCAGACCAGTGATAATCAATGGCGTGACGTTGGCAACACTTTTTAAAATGTTGAAAATTAATTACCCCGGCAGTCTCCATTAAAACTAAACAGAAGGTAAAGAAAAAAATCTTACTTTGTTGATAAATGGAAGCTGATCCTATGATGGATCGTCTAGCGAGCCAATTTAGTAAACAAGCATACGTGATTATGCTAATCGTGTGACCTAGGAAAAGTGAATTTCCTAAAAAGGTCATTAATATTTTTGCATATATACTAAACATGACACTTAAAACAGCGTAATCTGGTAACGTGCACATTTTACTAAAATAATAGCTCTAATTATGATCTGGAAAGTCTAAGAAAAAACGTGGAAAAAAGAGCAAGTTTTAAAACTAACAAGAGTAAATATTAGTCCCGAGTACAACTCAAACTGTTCGGCAATCAAACTTCATCAGACTCAATACCTTTCTCCTTTCCACAGAATGGAAGGAATAGCCTTT